GATAGAAATACAAACATCTGCAGAATATGAATCAGCAACAGTTATCTTCAGTATTCATGAACAGAAACTATCAGATTGGATCCATCTTCTTAAATGTCTCAGGTTTTTCTGTTTCATACTTTCCTAGAGTGAATCTCTTTGTGGTTGGACAAAACAAGACGTCTCTTGGACATTTTTCACTCGTTCTAACAGTTAGTTAGGGAGCTGCAGCTCTGAACGGGAGGAACTCAATCAAACCCTCTGGACCTCATGAAGACGTCCTGGTCTGACGGGAAACTGGTAGTGGAGTTTGGACGCTCTCTAGTGGCTCATTGTCTCCAGTTACAGAGTGCTTAAGGCTTGTGGAGACCACACGATTTTCAGCCGAGGCCGTGCGGTTCACCCTGCAAAACTTGCCGTCTTGGTACAGGAGTGTTGAAGTCATTGTGGCGTTCACACTACATGACTCATCGGTGACAGGGGGTCACACACTACACGAGCTGACAAAAGCCAGTCATGGGGTTTGTTTTGGACTTCTGTAGCTTTTTTAAAGTAAAGACTACACTTTGACTGTGTAAACGTCAGAAAAGTGACGAAACATTTTATTGAAAGAGACACACTGGTGAACTGCGTCTGTAACAAACATCTATCACATGAGATCAGACTCCTAACAGCACACATACCTGAGTCAGTCAGTATTAGTTAGTTTGAAATAAATGTTAGTTTAAAGTAAAACTCGTTAAACTAAACCTTTATTTTCATATGTTAATATGCGTACATATTTTAATATAGAAGTACCAACAATGACAACGAACAGAAGGACGTCCTGCAGTTCAGATACAGAATGTTTCCAGCAAAATAGTCTTTGTATGTATTTGTACATTATAATAATGTTGTATAATTATTACTGATGCATTAAATTGTATTGTATTACTACATCATTTGTTTAGATAAACAACTGTATCTGAACAAAGAAACTAATGCTGTCAGAGAAATGGAGTGGATTAAACACATTTCTTCTAAAATGATGCAAAGTATAAATACCTCAATATTGTACAAGAAAAAGTGCAATCTGTGAGTACTTTTAATAATCACAAACATAAAAATATCTGCAGAAAGTAGACTTCAACAATCAATAACAAAATGCAGCTCTTTACAAAAGAAAAATATTTTAGATAATGATCAAAAACATGAATCATCACTCAGATAGAATAAAATATGAAAGTGTTTGTTCCTTCGCTTTGTTAAAAACAGACTTCTGCCGCTGCCTGGTGCCAAAATAAGCCGAGTCACTTAGTTTGAAATAAAACAAATAAATTCTTATTTGAGGCCATTTGGGAAGATTATACTTTTTTACAACAAAACCTGTCAGGAGTGAAGGAGGAGTCATTAAAAAACTACAAAGAAATGCTGAAAACAAATTGAATATTTAAATCAGACACCTGCTAGGCAATGTTATACTGAGTTCTGCTGTACAGCCCCATTAAAAGTAGCTGAAGTAGCTGTTAGCCACTCCTGTTAGCAGTTAGTACGGATGATTCAGACACTGTCACTGGATCGCTGTGGCACTGAAGTAAACTTGAAAACATGAAGATTCTCAGGTAGGGTCTGCAGCATCTTTCTCTCAGTTTTTTATCTTTATCAGAACATGAAAGTCACACTGAATCTATAAATATGGTGTTCAGATTGTACTGCCTTATGACTCTAAGAAGGAGCAAAGTGTTCTACAGTGTTTTAATGTCCTCCATGACCCACGTTAACAACAGATCCGAGCTTTAACAACATTTTTTCTTTCCTACATTTAGAAAAGCAAACCCATTCGAATAATAAACCCAATATTTCCTCACATAAATGCAGTATATTTGCACCAAAGCAGCTGTTTTGCAATGTCTTGCTACAGGGTTTTGATGGTGGACCTGTCCTTTTCTTTCAGGTCTCTGAACGACTCAAAGCTGGTCGTCTTCTTTAAGTTCTTCAGACTGTACTTTTTGTTGACATACGAGACGTGCCGAACAGACCGCAACACGGTGGCTCTGAAGCTCTGTGTTCTGGCCGTGAAGAGGATGAAGATCTGAAACCCCTGAACACAGCAGAGCAGGAAGACGAAGGTTAGCCTCTTTATTCCAAACTCCATTCAAAAATTTGATTGCATGAGCTGTACAAGGTTACACATTACACATATTTAAAAGTTTAAATTCATCTTCCAAGCACTTCCTTATCTAATTTTCATAAAGTAGCTCCTGTGTCTGAGCATAAAGGTGTAGAACAAAATACTTTAAAAACAAATGAACATGTTCATGTAAAATGTAACTGTGTACATATGCATATACACTTTTGTTTTTGCTCCCATTTGAATTTGGCAGTACATCCAACCGGCTTCACAACCCCAGACCACGTGTAACCACACCAGCCCAGGACTTCCACATCCAGCATCTTGACCTCCAAGATCGTCTGAGACCAGCCACCCGGACAGCTGCTGCAACAATCGGTTTGCATAACCAAAGAATTTCTGCACAAACTGTCAGGAACTGTCTCAGTGAAGCTCATCTGCAGGCTCGTCGTTCTCATCAGGATCTCGACCTGGCTGCAACTTCGCACAGCCATTGAAGAGAAGTGGACCAACACTCAACACAGTGGGCCACAATCAACAGCCTGATCAACTCTATGCGAAGGAGATGTGTTGCACCGCGTGAGGCAAATGGTGTTCACACCAGATGCTGACTGGTTTCCTGATCCGCCCCCCGGACCCCACCAGAACCCCCCAATATAGCGAAACTGCACATTTTGGATTGGCATTTTGTTGTGGCCAGCCAAAGGCCTTTTATTGTGGCCAGCCTAAGGCCTTTTATTGTGGCCAGCCTAAGGCCTTTTATTGTGGCCAGCCTAAGGCACACCTGTGCAATACTCATGCTGTCTGATCAGCATCTTGATATGCCACACCTGTGAGGTGGATGGATTATCTCGGCAAAGGAGAAGTGCTCTCTAACACAGATTTTGACAGATTTGTGAACAATGTGAGAGAAACAAAAGTGTTGTGTTTAGAATTTTGTTCAATATTTGTTTTTGTTTTTTAAAGGAAATGGTAAACTGTATTTCTGTGACTGGAAGTATTGTATTTTGCCAATAACAATATTTGGGGAGGAAAAAGAAGCAAGTGAACAATGTTTTCATATAAATTGTGATATCAAAGTAACGTACCTGTGTTGTTGTACAGAGGCAGAAGACGATGCTGAAGACCAGGTGGGTGTGTCCTGTAGTGACGAGCACCAGGTACCCCAGAGTCCAAGACAGACCCAGTAAGACCGACAGAGAAAAGCTGATGAGGAACTTCTTCCACAAGGACCGACGGTTGTTGCTGCGCATCAGAAACAGGTTTGTGAATTAAAGTTTTTTTTTTAAAGGTTCAGTGTGTAATATTTTTGAGGATCTGAGGAACGGAAATAAGATCCATAACTATGTTTTCAGTGGTGTATAAAGACCTTACATAATGAAGCATTGTGTTTTTATTCCCTTACAATGAGCCTTTTTTATCTACATGACCACGGGCACCCCCTCTGTAGAGGTCACAGTATTTTGTCATCATGTTTCTACAGTAGCCGACAACGGACAAACAGCGCTACAGAGTGCGTTTCATCATCACGGCTTTCTTCTTCTGCTTGTGTAATTCCGGCAGTGTCGACGCTATTACTACATTAAATGCGTCCATAGAGGAAGAAGCGGAAATAATAATAATATACAGTCTCTGAGTAGTCCTCCGGTTTATTAGAAGTAAGAAGAGAAATGACATTTGGACAAATGAACGTGCACACATTATTTAGCACAGCGCTGACAGCCTGTGGATCTTTATAAGATGAAGCCAGAGGAGTTGGGCCAGATACAAACAGCTGACAGCTGTTCCCGGATGGAAGGCTATAACGCTAATGTGGGACAGATGTTTTCAAAGTGGATGTTTTCTGCTGGACAGGTAAATACTTTAGCGATACAAATGAAAGCTGTTGTTTGATAGCTTTAGCTTAGAGAGCCGTGTTTCTCATGTCAGTGGTTTGAAATATATAACGTTAGTTGGATTAATTTCATGTCGCCTACTGATTCTCCAGCATGTGGGTTGGCTTTGCCGGTTACGTTAGCAAGACAATCAGCTGATCATAGCGTTAGCTTAGAGCATGGAAGCATCAGCCAGCTAAACTTTTACTGTCCTGCTGGGAAAATCATGTACTTGGATTAGGTTTATGTAGTTACTCTCTCTCCAGCACTCTTATTTGGCACTAATTGGCAATTAAAACGGCAGCATCCAGCATCGAAGCTCAGATCAGAAAAATATGTAGTTGGATTGTAACTTCATGTAGTTCTTCTCCAGCGCTCTCTTATGGCTTTGTTACATGGACAGAAATGTGTTGTTACCTTCTCGAGACAAACAGCTGATGAATAGTATTAGTAATGAAACGGTAACAGCAGGGAAGCTCAGATCAGCAGCTGAACTTCACATTTTACTCTCGTGGAAAACATGTATTTCTTTTTACTGCTAATGGTGATATATAACAAGTGACCAATAATGAATACTGTCAGAATTTGCATTAAAAAGATGTTTTTTTTGGATATTGCTTCCCACTGTGCACACAAATGTGTAATTTGTACTTTCACATTTTTAAATGCCCATTAAAAACGTTGCACTGTTTTACCACAAGCTGAAATTATGGCTGTCAGTACTACAGTTTCTGTTGTACTTCAAAAGATAAAAAAGACATTTTGGTAATATTTGCATGCTTATCTAATTAAGCAAAGGCAAAAGAGCCTTGATCCTCACCTGACAATGCCTTTGTAAGCTTCTTGTATTATGTGGTTAATAATGGGCTGTGGTGCACAAACAGTGAGGCTCACATTGTCCTGGTATCTGTCAGTGGTCTTACTTGATGCACTAGATGTGATAGTGTGTGGTATGTTAGTCCAGATGAGCCAACCCTCCCAAGTTGTAAAATACTGTATTACAGGAGTATGAGACATCATGTAGCACTTCATTTCTTACTGAATAATTAAGTAATTTCTTAATATATCAATGTAAAGAAACCTGATTTCTTGACTGGCAACTCTCTGCTATCTCATAGATGACATCTTTGTCCTGTCTCAGGCACCGTAGCTATACATCTTGCTTGGATATGGGGAGGGGGGTTGAAATTCTTGTAATTCGCAACCCCCACCACTAGAT